TGGGTGCTTGAATATTACAGCGACATGTGTATCTGTGATCCCGTATAATGTTTCATGATGACGCGTTGTATAAAGTAGATTCGAGATTGACTTCGCATGCGCTCGAATCGAACATCAGTGACAAGGCTTATCGCTCGAGCCTCGGATTGTCGTCCTTGTTCCTCGTCGTTCTCGTCGTCCTCCTTGTCCTAGGTGCGTTTCCAATGCCTCTCTTAGTGTCGAGCATGGACATGCGCACGTACACAGAAGCACTCGCGAACGCGTGTGCCTTATGCCGCCCAACACGGCCATCGAGGGATCCGCCATGGCATATCGGGATGTGGGCCAGCAGAGATGAAGGATGACAGGGTTCGCAGAGAGTCAGGGTACAATCCACCCCCCCATGTTGGCTCAAGGCCTGATGCCGCGCGCCGCGGGCGGGCCTTGGGCCGGGCCAGAGGCCCTCCCCGCGCGCTCTCGGCGGCGATGGCGAGGTGGCGACCGGTGTGGTCCGAGGGAGGCGCCCCCAGGCTGCTGTGCAGGCTTTGCTCACCAACGGTCTGCCCGGAGTGCACGACAGGCCCGCCGTGCCAGGACCACGTGCACCGGGGGAGGCCAGTGCGCCTCCGCAGCGACGGCGTGCAGGCGCCCCCAGCCATGAAGGTCCTCCTCCCGGAGAACATGGCGAGCGCCGGCTTCGCCCGGCTTGAGGCGATCAACTACCCCCCAGGCGCGCTGGGGGCCGGCGGTGTAGGGCCAGTCAGCATCGGGCACATCGTTGCGTTCTCCAGAGACCTCGCGGCCCAGACGCAGGAAGAGGGCGCCGTGGGCGTGCTCTGCTCGAAGGGGGCCTGCGCCAACGTCATGCTGCTGCTGGGCGCCCACCTGGTGCTCGCGCGGGGGCTTTCCGCAGACGAGGCCTTCGCCCGGCTGCCGAAGACCCCCCTCCAGCAGCAGCGGTTCCCAGCGCCGTGGGCGAGGGAGGCGCAGTGGCACGCGCACTCGCTCACGGTCAAGGACTGCCTCGTCGGGCTGCAGGTGGCCGTGGCGAAGGGCTGGCTTGACTACGAAGGCTTCGACTACGAGGAGTGGCGCAGGCTTCTGATTACGTACGACGCAAGCCTCACTTTCCATGTTCCTCTCAAGGCCCACGCGGGCGAGCCTGGGCGGCTAACCTTTTACGCCATGGCCGACCCCGTCACTACGGTGGCGGACCCAGGGGTGAGGCCTGCGCCCCCGGAGGGCGGCTTCGTGTCAGACTACGTCAACATGCCCAAGGGAACCCGGCAACGCATGAAGACGTGGAGCACAGGCGATAGGAAGAAGAGGTCGCCCGGCGATTATGCCAGCGCCCCGGCCGGGACGACGAGGGAAGGACTGTCAGAGTCAGAGGATGCAACCATGCGGTCGGAGCGGCAGGGCCCTTTCGAGGGGGAGCTGAACCTGGCCACACCGCCGGGGCGGTCCAAGTTCGAAAGGATGACGACTGAGCCAGTTGTCGGCCCGATGGGCTCGCTGGATCCAGACCCCGCCGAGGACCCACCGAAGCAGTGGATCTGTAGCCGAGCTCGTTCCGCCGAGCTTGACGCCCACGACAAGAATGAGACCGCAGCAGTGCCAGACGCCCACGCCACCAGCACGCCGCTGGGCAGCATGTTCCACGAGACACACCCGACGCCCGTGACGCCGTCTAGCGTCGACAGGGTCACGTGGTTAGAGATGGTTCGCGTCAGGCGCTGGGGCCATGAGCAGCACAGCAGGCAGAGCTCGGTGCCCGTGAAGTTGGTGAAGGAGCGCGGCCTCTCGACGCTCCCAGAGTTCGGCACGTGGCTGCGTTCGGTAGGCTGCAGGAGGCTGGTGCAGCTGAACCGCCCGAACGAGCACGCCCTGCCTTCGACTGGCTCGTACAAGGACTATTTCTCCCAGTATTGGCAGGTGCAGCAGGAAGCCCTGCACTTCGACGACGGCTCCGTGCCGCCCGTCCAGGTCATACGCAGTTTCCACTCCGCGGTGGAGGAGGTGATTGCGGACATGGACCACGACGGCCCCGACCAGACAGGCGGCTTCAGCGCGATCGTTGTCCATTGCGCGGCAGGCCTCGGCCGAACGGGCACGCTGCTGGGCGTGCTGGCCATGGACATGGTGGGAATCCCCGGTGGTGCGTGGATGGGTTGGATCAGGATGTGCCGCCCAGGCTCCATTCAGACGTTGGCCCAGGAGGCGTTCCTGAAAACCTACGAGCCGCAGAAGGCGGCTGCGAGGAGGACCCTGTGCAGAGCTGGCCTGGCGCGCCGCGTGCTCCGCATCCTCCGCTGTTCGCGCTCCACGTCTTACGCCTGATATTTCCCCCGCAGCCGGCGCGTTTCGCGGCGAGCAGTTGAGGTGCCCAGTCAACTGGCGTCATTCCGTGGCGCTTCCTCTCGTGTTCGCTCCACCGACACCAAATCAGGGCTGGACCTAAACGCTGTTTTGTTGGACTTCGGATGTGCTTTGCTTTTCCTTTTGGCAGGGAGGTTCAGGAAAACAGTTACGTAAAGCAAAACGAACAACAAAACGAAGACACAACGAACAATTAACCAGAGAAGAACCCAATCAGTGGATGTTTTGAAATGGGATCTATAAAGATATCGATAAGGAGATCGACCAGGAACACGGGAACCGGGAACCCGGAACCCACCGAAATCGACCCGGAACCAATGACCAGGAACCTGGTAACCCGGAACCGGGAGCTTGGGAACCCAGCCGGCCACCAAAATCGGCGAGACATTTTCGCCAAACCTTTCAATTTCCGCTAGGACCCCCACAGTGCTAGCACTTATTTGGGAACAACGTTTCCGTTCAGCCCTGGTGCCCAGTCAATTGGCATCCTCCCGTGGCGCTCCCTCTCGTGCTCGCTCCACAGACACCAGACGTCTGTTGCGAGCCAGGGTGGCCCTCTCGCTGGGGGTGGCCTCTGGTGCGCGGCCTTCGGCGGTTTCTGTTCGGGGGCGACTCTCGCATAACACATGTATACATATATATATATATTAACACATATATCTATACACGTATACATAGATATATGTCTTCATGGTTGTCTTCAGGACTGTATGCTTGCAGTGTCTGTCCTCTGCCGTACTTGTTACGGCTCATGCTTTTGGGTCACACAACGTCGATGCATCAGTTCCTTGCGCGCGCGGGGGCTGAGGTCGCCCGGGGGGTCTCCACAGCGCTCATAGTGCGGGGAGGCTCCCAGCAGTGCCCTGCGTGCGAGCCAGTGGTGTCCTGCGGTGTCTGCCCGACGCTGGACTGCCCCAGCTGCCCGGAGTGCCAGTGCGCTCCCCACATCCAGTGCCCGAGCCTGGAGTTCTCGCCGAACAGCTCCTTCCACCAGGTTCGGTTTGGGAAGGGCGTCGAAAATGACGGTCCAGAAACCATATAAAAAACCACAGGGTCCCGCAACACTGATTTTCAAACCAACTTAACCAACAACATAACAAAACAAAGAATCGTGCGCGCGCTCTTGCAAATTCTTAAGAACGACGTGTCCATACCATTCTGCCAAACAGGCTTTGCGCGCGCATGTCTAAATCGTTCAATCGCCCTTGCGCGCGCGCGCTGGGGTGGCACGATCCGTGTCAATACATACCATGCGAGTCACTCTCGCGCGTTTGCCGCGCGCGCATTTCGAATTCCTTCCAAAACCTTCATCACCGACGCGAAGACGCCGTCATCGTCGTCGGCGTGATCAGCATCGGCGCCGTCACTGGCTGCCCCATCGTCGTTGCCAGCATCGCCACCAGCATCGCTACTATTATCATCGTGTCTACGCCGTCGACGTTGCCATGATATCGCGCCCGCCCACGTCGCCGACTCGCACTGAAGAGCCCGCTGGAACGTGCCGAGCGGTCAGCGCCACCGCGTTCGCGTCGGTCGCGCCAACCTAGTTGGTCGTTGCGCGCGCGAGTATCCGCGTGCCAGCGCGGCCGCAGAGATGCACCAGTCAACACCCAGCACTCATCGCAATCGTTCCCGCATGGGTTTTTCAAACATAGTTACGGGCGGGTGGATGGGATGTTTGCGCGAGCAGTGGGGTTGTCAATTTCAAGTTCGGTATGTGAGTTGCACAACGTATTTTGCACCACGCAGGTTGCCCCGCGCTTATTGCACATCGTAGACTTCTACAAAGAACATGGGTTGGGGTCCAGTCAAGCGAAGATCCCATACGCAGATCAAAGAACAGGACACTCGGGCATTTGGCACGCCGCGCATTCCTGTGGCAAGCACAAAGGGCGGCGGATCGAAGACGTCTACAGCGAATCGCAGCCGCCCCCATGCCTGTCGGAAGCACCCATGTGGCCGAACGTTGTGACCAACGCCTGGACAAGCTATCGGACTAAGTATGTGTTCCCCGAGCCGTGGTGGAAACCCTTCGAGGAACATTTGCGGGAGGATGGAGGCGAGCATCGGGAGACGGACGAGGAGGAAGAGGAGGAGGAGACCTCGTGGGAGCCTCTTGGGGCCTTCTCGGGGCCGTCGGGGAGCTTCCTGGGGGCCTCTTGGAGGCCTTTGGGGGACTTATTGGGGGCCCTTGTGGGTTTCTTGGGAGCCTCTTTGGCCGTCGTCGGGCGCGCCTGGCCCGCCTGACGCCGTCGGAAGCCGTCTTGGAGCGGTTCAGGGCCGTCTTGGAGGCCATCTTGAACGTCTTGGAGGCCTCTGGGGTCGTCTTGGGGCCCGCACGGGGCCCTCTTGAGAGCGTCTCGGAGGCCTCTTGTGCCGTCAGGGGACCATCTTGGAGGCCTCTTGGGCGCTCTGAGGGCGATCTTGGGGGCCTGTTGGGCCGTCGGAGGGCTGAAAATAAGGAAGTGCCAGTCCGTGAAAGAAACAAGCGGGAAAACAATAAATTCGGCCTCTTCGGGCCTTGAGGACCTCTTGCAGGCCTCTTGGGCCGTTTTGGAGGCCTCTTGGGCCGTTCTGGGCCATCTTGAGGCCATCTTGGGCCGTCTTCGGTGCATCTTCGGCCGTCTTGGGTGAATCTTGGGAACACATTGGACCCTCTGGGGGGACACATTGGCCATATTGGAGGCGCCTCGGGCCCGTCTTGGAGACCATCGAAGGCTATCTTGGCCGTCTTGGGAGTTTTGTTTGAACGGTGGAGCCTTTCTGTCTGGCCAGCGTGTTGCTGCCGTCGCCGCCCGTCGCCGCCGTCCGCCGCCGCTGCTTCTGGGCATGGGGTGTCGGTCGCCGCCCTTGTTGCCGCCCGTCGCCGCCCGTCGCCGCCGCCCCGTGGTCCCCGCCCCGTTGCAGTCCAATCGATTGCAGTCAAACCGATGGCAATCCAATCGATTGCAGTCCAATCGATTTCTGCCCAAACGGTTACAATCGATTGCAGCACATAGGTTTCACCATCGAGATCGTTTTACATTGATCGCATAACGTACATTGCAGCACGCATCACGCATTTTGCACCGCACCGATTGCGCCACACACGCACACACACAGATTGCACAACATATTGTACCGCGTCGATCGCACCACATAGACTGATGAGCATAGCTTGCACCACAAAGGATGCACCACGGATATTGCACAACACATGCACCACATACATTGCGCCACTTATATTGCACCGCATATATTGCATATCACATGTTGCACCACATAGGTTGCATCACTAGTTGCACCATATAGAGTTCACACAATAGACTGCACCACATGTGTTGCACCACATAGCCTGCATCACGTTGATCGCACAATATATATATATATATATATATTGCGCACCACAGTTATTGTACCACGCAGTGTGCACAACATGCGTAGCTTGCACAGCACATATTGGTCCACATAGCTTACACCACATACATTGCACATGATATGACGATATATTGCACAACATCAATGGCACCTCCTATGTTGCAACACGTCGATCGATTCACATAGAGTGCGCAACATGTATTGCATCACACAGACTGCACCGCGTATATGGCACCTTCATAGGTTGCTCCACACATCTTGCACACCGTACTTTGCTAGAGACAGAACGTGTTTGGGGGGTGTCCAGTCAGGCAAAGACCCCATAGACATATCAAAACCAAGGCACTCGGGCATTTGGTACGCCGCGCATCCCTGTGGCAAGCACACAGGGCGGCGGATCGAAGACGCCGACAGCGAATCACAGCCGCCCGCATGCCTGTCGGAAGTGCCGGTGTGGCCGAACGTTGTGACCAAAGCCTGCACAAGCAATCGGACTAATTATGTGTTCCACGAGCCGTGGTGGAAACCCTTCGGGTAACATTTGCGGAAGGATGGAGGAGAGCATCGGGAGACGGAGGAGGAGGAGGAGGAGGAGGAGGAGGAGGAGGAGGAGGAAGCACACAGGGCGGCGGATCGAAGGCGCCTGCGGCGAATCACCGCCCCTTTTCCCGCCTCTTGGGAAACGCCCCCTGCGGCCACACGCCGGGCCGACTTCCTGCGAAGCTACTGGACCACGTGCTTCCCAAGCCGTTGTGGACCCTTTGGGGGAACTTTTGGGAGAGGACGAGAAAGGAAGAGGAGAACGATGAGGAGGAGGAGGAAGAGGAGGAGGAGGAGGAGGAGGAGGACGAGGCGGAGGCAGGGGTCATTCCGATTCCGCCGGTTCGAATCGAATCGATTTCCGCGATTCCGATTTCGAACCGACTCGATTCCGGGATTCCGATTCGCGATTCCGATTTCGAGTTCGCCCGATCCGGCTTCTGCCGATTCGATGCGTCATCCGGCTTTTGCCGGCTTTTGCCGATCCGGCTTCGCTCCGGCTCTGGCCCCCAAGGGGGGAGTCCAAACCCCCCCCAGGGGGGGGTTCCAAAAACCCACCCCCCCCCCAGGGGGGGGGTCCAAAAACCCAAACCCCCCCCAGGGGGGGGGTCCAAAAACCCAAACCCTTCCCAGGGGGGGGTCCAAAAACCCAAACCCCCCCCAGGGGGGGGTTCCAAAAACCCAAACCCCCCCCAGAGGGGGGTTTCCAAAAACCCAAACCCCCCCCAGGGGGGGGTTCCAAAAAAAACCCCCCCCCCCCCAGGGGGGTTTCAAAAAAAACCGGAACCACCAAACCCCCCCCAGGGGGGGTTTCCAAGAAAACCCGGAACCCCAAACCCCCCCCAGGGGGGGTTTCCAAAAACCCAAACCCCCCCCAGGGGTGGTTTCAAAAAAAACCCGGAACCTCAAACCCCCCCCAGGGGGGGTTTCCAAAAAACCAACCCCCCCCCAGGGGGGGGTTCAAAAAAAACCCGGAACCTCAACCCCCCCCCAGGGGGGGTTTCCAAAAACCCAACCCCCCCCCAGGGAGGGTTTCAAAAAACCCAAACCCCCCCCAGGGGGGGTTTCAAAAAACCCAAACCCCCCCCAGTTCCCCCCCCCCCCAGGGGGGGTTTCCGATTTCGATTCCGATCCGGCTTGACGCGGTCCGGTTTCCGACTCGATCTGGCTTGGCCGTGCCGACTTCAGCCGATTTCGATTTGGCTGCCGGCTTTTGCCGACTTCTGCCGATTCGATGCTCCGGTC